AAAAGTGGGATCGCAGAACCAGAAACCTTCTTCTATCCTCTGCATGCTCCCAGATTTCAAAAGATAAAAAAAGGTAAAGTAGATAAAAAGGTTCAGCTTAGATCAAATAAAAGAGTTTAGATAAAGATATATGTCCAAAAAGATCTAGACGGACAATTTATTATTCCAAGGAATAATCATAATCATAATTCTGCAAAATGTCAGGTCAGTTCCAGTTTCAAAAGACTGAAAAATTCTACCTAAAACTAACTTTCATTTCACATAGTTGGCCTCATTTTCAAAGTTTAACTCACACCAACAAGTTTAATGAGCTGCGCTTTAATCATAGAGGGCATCACTCTTTGAACTGAATATATGAAATATGTTTAAAATCTTAGCGGCTGATTAATTAATCACAATGAAACAAGTGATGAAGAAAACAGACTCACATCCTTCCAGAGAATCTGCTGACTGCTGGCTTCCATGATGCAACCCTGCAAAAGGATTCTTTCCGATCCTCTTAGCGGAGGAAAAAGACCAACGCTTTGGAAGGCGAAGCATCCCAGCTTCATTCCAGCGTTGTAATTGGGGGGTGTGCTGAAAGGGAGGGGGAGTTTCAGATGGAGTGGAATTACAGAAACATTTGTGATTCCCCGTTAAAGCAAAGCAGATGTTCCTCCTGCTGGCCTGCTCCCGTCAGAAAGGTGGAAAACCTCAAATGAGTTTTAGGCTCAGGAAGCAACCCAACATCTAAACCATATCTAGATCCTGCAGAGATCCTCCAAAATGACTCTGCCTTAGAAAAGAAACACTTTTATTACTGATGTGTGAGGACGCATTATAAACCTGCATGTATTGAATGAATATTGAAAATATAAATGGAAATTTATGAAACAGTTAAAACAGGATAAAAGACCAAACAACATAAATAATACTTTAAAAAGATAAATAGAAAGCCAAACATTCATACATAGTTAAAAAACTTTTTGGAAATAGTCAAATATGGAAAGCTAAAACCAAATAAATAGAAAGTTCTAGTAAAATTCAGGTAGCAAGTGACTAACTAATCACATGGCTGGTCAGCTATCGTTTCAGCCAATAGAAATGAGCGCTTTCTGTTGATGGCTGCATAGCTTCCACTTGAAAAACGAACCATCAAGCCGGTGATTGACTGGTCTGTCACTCACCTGAACTTGAGCTCAAAGTTGTTTATAAATGGTTGGTAATAAACCATTGTTACACTTACCTTGCCTGGTCCATGTTGTCACTCCACCACTTGTTCCTCAGAATCTAGAATCTTCTGATCTGGTCCACCAGGTGCTAAACCGCAAAGATTTTCATGTGAACCACCTCTTGTAGAAGAACTGAGGTTACATGCAGCATATCTCATTTTCTTTCTGAAGCATTTAAGGGAACTGAACTGGCAAACAAACAAGAGCTCAGATGGCTGAATGACAGCGTACCAAAAGAATCTGCTTTATAATAGTAGAGGAATTCAAACCTGTGCTCATGTTGAAAGAGAAAAAGGAAAAAAATGGATAGAAATTCGAGGACAGAAGTTTACAGGTTAGATCCTGGCAGTTTCAAACAGCCAAACTAAATCTATTCCTCCATCAATTCAATAAAAGTCCATAAAAAGGAAATAAATAGTAAATTTCAGCAAATTCTGTTTGTCATTGCTTCTGTTTTTTTTTCTCCGAATATTTTCTTTCAGAATTTCCACACTCTATTGTAGACACTGACTGGTGAGAAAAGATAAGCAGTTATAGAGTTATGCTCGTGCATCAGGAGAGGAGTGAGCAGGTTTTAGGAGGGCATGGGGGATTGGTTGGATAACAGTTAGCAACTGGAACAGCTCAAACTTTAACAACCTCAGGGCTCTCTGCAAGCTTCCACCTGAAGACCTGGAGTTACTTGTAGTAAATATATAAGATGCTTTGTTTTAATTCCTCCAGTCAGTCCAGTAATAGGAAAAACGGCCTTGTCACATTTCTTTTCTTTTTCCTTCTGCTCTCAAGGATTTGCAATATTCAGTTTAACTGAGCTAAACATTTTTACGTAAAGTTTCAAATAGTTTGTTTGTCTGTTGGTAATCTGCCACTTTACCCACCCAGACTGGAGATGATGCTGGTATCTGGTATGGATCATCTGTTTCTCATGTTTCCTCTTCTTTAATCATGATCTAACATTTAAAGGTAGATGTTTGATTCTCGTTATTTGTCTAATATGAGCTCATTCTGAGGACTAATGAATATCAGGTACAAGTTTGAGTGTTTGTGCCTTCCACAAACCAACCTATCCTGATCTGAACTTGCATTGCTCTGGCCTGCAACCTTTTGAAGCAATCAGAGCTCAACAGAATTAGCCAAATTTGAAAATAATCTCAGTGTAATTATAATAATAAAACAATTATGTAATTTGGAGGTTTTAGGAGGCATTGAATGGATAAATATATCCATCCATTCATCCATCCATCATCGTCCGCTTATCCGGAGTCAGGTCGTGGGGGCAGCAGCCCAAGCAGAGAGGTCAAGACTTCCCTCTCCCCAGCCACTTGGGCCAGCTCCCCCAGGGGGATCCTAAGGCGTTCCCTGGCCATCTGAGAGACATAGTCCCTCCAGCATGTCCTGGGTCTTCCTTTAGGTCTCCTCCTGTTTGGACGTGCCAGGAAAACCTCACCAGTGAGGCGTCCTAACTAGATGCCCAAACCACCGCAAATGTTCAATTGAATTTAGTTTATTTATATAGCGCAAAATCATGACAAGAGTCGTCTCACGGCACTTCACAAAGCAAAACATTCCAATTAAGTTAAGTTCATTAAGCCAATCAGTAAAAAGTTTTCTATATAAGGACCCCAGCAGATTGTATCGAGTCTCTGACTAGTGACTTTACAGCAATCCTCATACTAAGCAAGCATGTAGCAACAGTGGAGAAGAAAACTCCCTTAACAGGAAGAAACCTCCTAAATTGTAGAATAGAATAGAATAGAATAGAAAATCCTATTATTGTCACTGAATGGGAGGTGTCACAGCAGCAATTACATTCTCCACAGGAGCAAAACTAAGAGAAAAAATAGTAAAGTGTAAACAACAAGAAAACATAATGTAGAAAAACTTAGAATGGTATAAAAAATAAAATACTTCAATTAAAACATCAAAATACTGGATATTTACACACTTTCAGAAATAAAATACAGTGTGGTCTAAAAAAGATGAGATTCAGTCAATCAATCAGATTTTATTTATAAAGCGCATTTCAAGCAAAGTGCTTTACAGAATTAAAATTACCCCAAATTCCCATAACAGTTTAAATGCATTAAAACACACACAAACACACACACACACACACACACACACACACACACACACACACACACACACACACACACACACACACACACACACACACACACACACACACACACACACACCAGTCAAAATTTATATTTGGCTGAGTCCAGATGAGCCAAGTAATGTAAGGCAAGGAAACGCCATCAGAGGAGCCGTCTGCCCCAGCAGCATCAGGTCTTCCACAGCAACTAAGTCAGGGCGCTCAGAGGAGGGGGACCATAGACCCCCACCTCCACTCAAACTCTACCTGTTGAGCGCCCAGGCAGCAACAGTCGACCACTGTCCCCTGGGGCAGAGGGCCCCCACAGAGGAAACACTGGATTAAATGAGTAAAATTATGAAAATAAAACAGCTAATATAAATGACAAAGGTAAGAAAATAAATAATAAATAAAATCATATGGACAGTAAAATAATAATATAATTAAATAATGAAACTGCTAAAATATAATCATATAAACCTTCAAAGTCAGTAATAAAATATATTCATGTAAAATGAGAAATAAAACTATAGTAAATAGTTAGATAAAAGCTAACATAAATAGGTGGGTCTTGAGCCTGGACTTAAAAACATAAATGTTCTCTGTGGCCCTGAGATCCTCCGGCAGCTCGTTCCAGAGGCGATGGCTGTAATACTGGAGGGACGCCTCACCGTGAGTGTGTCCTGACTTTAGGGATAACCAAGAGACACCTGCCAGAGGAGCGCAGAGGCCGTGAGGCTTCATATGATAAAAGCAGTTCTGAGAGACAAGAAGGCCCAAGACCATTAAGAAACGTATAAACCATTAAAATAACCTTAAAATCAATCCTGAACCATACAGAGAGCCAATGCAATGATTCTAAAACTGGTGTAATGTGCTCACGCCTCCTGGTCTTCGTCAGGACACGTGCCGCCAAATTTTGTAGAAGTCGTAAACCTGAAATGCTCTTTTTAGGAAGTCCAGAAAGCAGAGCAGTACAGTAGTCTATTCTACTGGTGATAAAAGCATGCATCAGCGTCTCTGTATTGGCCCGAGAAAGATTTGGGTGGACTCTGGCAATGTTCTTTAAATAATAAAAACCTATTATTGTGATGTTTTTAATTTGTGGGATACAAGTCAGGTCAGAGTCAAAAATCACACCCAGGTTCTTCACTTGTTCAGAAAGATTGAAAGACAATTGTAACTTCGGTAAAAGTTTCTCTCTCTGGGCTTCAGCACTGATGACTAAAACTTCAGTTTTGTCCTGGTTGAGCTGGAGAAAGTTCTCTGCTATCCAGGATTTGATGTCTAAAATGCAGTTAAAAAGTGCATCCATTGGCCGAGAGTCATCAGGAGACACAGAGATGTACAACTGTGTATCATCAGCATAACTGTGAAAGTTGTCTCCATGTCTCCAAATGATACCGCCAAGAGGGAGCATAAAGGTTAAAAAGCACTGGGCCTAACATTGATGGGTACAGGTTATGTACAGGGAATGGTAAATGGAAAAATAGTGCCATCTAAATCATATTTTGCAGTCTAATACATAATTAGCCCATTCTCTGATGCTTCACTACTCAAACTAAACAAACAGAAGCAAGAAAAACTAACAAATGTTACAATGGTGGCTTTTTCCAACATCCCAACCTCACATTTACAATCTGGACTTTGCTGATCATTAAAATCATTTTGCCAACAAAGTGCAGCTTGCATCATTAAAGCAGATATGTCTCTGTTCTGATAAGTCCAATTACAATGGTAATAAATCAACACAAACTGCAACCCAGTTGTATCTGAGTTCTTGTGGATAAATGTTGTGGAACAAAAATAAACCAAGCACCAACTGGAGTTGGTGAAGTCTGTAGTCTTAACTAGAAATTGGTATTAGGGTCTTTATTGTTCTGGTCTGCATGTGTAAAGGTCACACGCATGAACAAGTGGACCTGTGCTAACTTCTGGATCTGGACTCTAAAGGTGTGGGACACTCGTTTGATCAATACATTTGCAGTGGTCTCTAATAGGAATAAATGCCTTGTTTGTCTTTAGTCAGGGGAAAAATGCTCTGTTGCTTGTTTCAGGAACTAGCAGAATGCATCATCAGAGTTGAGCTTAACACAGCAGGATTTTGAGGTTTATATCCTGATCACCTCTGATTGGATAACAGCAACACAACTCTGCCCCTGACTCTGTTTGCCTTGCAACATGAATGTTTTATCTCCACAAATAACACAAGCCTGGAGGAGTTCTGCTGTGTGGTGACATTGCTAATGCTAATGGTTAGCTTCTCCTAGCTAAGACGTTCTCTGCTGTTTTCTGGATGCTAAAAAATAACAGTCTTCCCTGTTGTGAGCCAAGATGGGTGAGTCCATGAATGTTAAGTGACAGTGTGACGTAGATCTGTCAGGCTTTTCTAATCCTAGAGTTTCACCGTCTATTTTCTATCAGAAGCTAACGCAGGAGAAAGGTGTAGGAGACTATTTTCATGTTCAGCCTGCATATGAAACTCAGAGTGAATGAATATAATCAAAAATGGTTAAAAAAACATTTTCGGTGTTCCACACCTTTAAGACACATTTAAATACAAAAATAATTCAATTTAATTGCTGTTTAATGCAATCATATCCTAAACAGTATTCCAGCAGAGTCTAGAAAGGTTGTTTGATTTCCCTCGCATGAAGCTCTATCTAAACACTACTCACTGCACTCATGTTGCATTTGCCTGCGTTTTGTCCTTAAAATGTATAATTTTTTTAGGTTGTATAAGAAAAATCTGTCACCTCCATTCAGGTAAAAAGCTTGGTACTCAGCAGTTTTCTGTTAAAATTTAGAAAGATCCTTGGATGGGAAGTTTAACTTCTCAGACATTCTGCAGCCTTCCTTGAACCTACTATAGGTAGCCTATCCGAAATCAAATAGTAATTGCATGATAAGTTAGCTATAAAACTATAGTAGAATAAATACACAATTGATATAAGCAACTTGTCTTAAATAGAAAATTTTGTAATCTGGTTGTTGTTTTCACTTCGCTGCATATGATATATTTTCCTCCCTGTGGAGATGTTTTAATCAGTTTATTTGCTTGTATTTTTGACCAATAATATGCAAGTTCAATTGTGGTTTTGTAATTGTTGCGGTGAGGATTGACTACATATTTGTTAAGTGATCAAGTTTTAATTAGTCATTTAATTCAGAGTGAAAGTAAAAGGTCTCGTCTTCTGCATGAGACCTTGTTCCAGCCACGATAAGGTAGCCAGGAATTATTATGTCTCCTTTATCTGGTGACAAGGCCTTGTGCAGTACTTCTTGTTTGGAGGCCAGACAGATGGGGTGTTTGTATCTGCAAATTAAAAAGTTAATTTCTGTTCATTTTGATGAAAATACTTGCCTTTAGGTGTGCTACAACAGAAAAAAATTATTTATTTTAACCCATCATTGATTAATTTACTCATTATTTATACACTTTGGATTTGAACATCCTGTTCATTCAACACATTTGATTACAACCTATAAAGTTGTATAGTCATTCATGATTCAAGGAAGATGAGCTTTGTTCAGAGAGTAAAGGTCTCAACTTCTGCATGAGACCTTTGGTTTCAGCTAAGATAAAAGGAATCAGGAGAAGGATTTATTATGGCTTCCCTTCTTGGCAGCAAGGTTGTAGAGCAGTGTGTTTACTGGTTTGGAGACCAGTGCAGGGGGAACAGCCTGGGCACTTCTGTGTAATGACCTTTGACCTTACAATAGATAAATAACCAAATTGTTGTCCTTTGGTACACTACATTATAAATTATAATTTTACAAGTTATTAGCAATGGTTCAACATCTGTTCTTCAGTCATTCCTTGAATATGTCAGAACTTCATGTATCATTTAGAAGAGACATATGCAAAACTCACCATTTGCATCCTTTTCTACTGCCATGTGGGTCTCTACTGTCTCAAAGTCTGAAGTAATCCCATCCATCAATTTTCTGTCAGCGTTTGGCTTTAGGAATTACATGCCTAAAACAAGCCATTTAAAAAAGTCCCAATTTGTGATGTCACAATCAGGGAAAGTAGACTGGAACCACATTTCATGCGTAAAAGAGCACCTACTGCTGAAGGAGCAGCATCTCTGCACGAACACAAACAATCAGAGCTTCTCAGATAATAACAGCCTGAGTGGGGGATGCGTAGGCGTGGCCAGCAACAGCTTGTTTTCTTAAAGTGACAGGACCCTGAAATGGCTCATTTTGGCAGTGCTGAACTGCTAAACTTCATAAACATGTTTTGTATCGACCATAGAACTATTACAGCTTATGAAAAAGTCACAACATGTCCCCTTTAATAGAATGTAGCTAGCTGTCTTCATCTTATCATCCAACTAATGTAAAACAAATTACAGAGTTTTGTGATCTGCACACATCACACCACTTGTTCTTCTGTTATAAGAAGAAAGTACGCAATGCACAACTAATTTTGTTTAAGCCGATCCCAAGAGAGAACGCCTCAAATCAAAGAACACCAACTGTAAGGTTCAACTGTTTAAACAAACCATCTGCCAGCCAACGTTCATGTCGTCTGAAACGGCACACAAAGGAAAAGCTTCAACGTTTTATAAAAAGCTCTGAAGTCATTCCAGTTTATTAAAAACACAATTTCACAACCTAAAGGTTCCACTTCACACCTGATTTGCTGAAGTGAAAAAAGGCTGCTCGGTCAATATCAGCTGAGCTGGAACATTCCAGGTGAAATTGGCCAACCTGCAAGCCTTTAGTGTGGCGGGCAACATTTGAGCACATATTAGGTCTGTCAGATCTGATAGCCGTGGGACCTCGTCAGCTCTTTCCCATTGATATAAATCTTCACAATTACTGTGACATTCTGCTTGGGCAAATCAAGCGGCGGGTCTTTCAGGAATAATGTTGTGTCAGCAGCAGTGTTGAGCATCCTGGGACCCTCATTCCCCCCGATAGCATTCAGCTGGAGGCTGCGGCTTTCACAACTACAGAATAGAATAAACAGCAATTTAGTGTGGAGTGTATAGCAGACACTCACAGATTAGAGCAGAGGTTGACAGAAGCAGCTGTAGGAAACCAGAAAGAATCACAAAATACATATTTACCCTTTCCTTGTCATGCCTCAGTCCCGATAGCTTCTACAGGAATTTTTCTCTTTTGTATTTGTCACAGAGAGCTGTGACCAACAGCACCAAGACCCAATCCAAACGGCGCTGAGTTAGAATGTGTGAGTTTTTCTTTTAAATGAAATTGAAAACTGTAGTTCTGCTCATTCAGGCAGAAGCTATCTCAAAGAAGTTTTATCCTGTTTTTTGTTGGTCATCTGGAAAAAAGATGTTCCTTGTTTTGCCTTTTAAAACAACGCTTGAGCCGTCCTCTAAAGCCCCGTTGAGCTTCTGTCACTCAGAGAGAAAGCTGAACTGGTAACCCACACAATTCCCACATGCACATCAACATTCATTAATAGCCACTTCTCACATGAAGGGAGGCTGCCACAGATAAAGACAGAGAGAAAATTTGCTGGAAAATCAGAGTCAGGCAGATAGAAGCACAAACCGTAAATAAACAGAACAAGGCTCTCATTTAGTCCTTCTTTGTCTCTGACAGTCACAAAAAACCACTTCTGTGGATTCAGACTCACTTCTGAGCTGAGAAAGAGAGCTCCGGCAGGTCAAATGTGACACACAGCCCCGTGTGATTTGATTATGTGCCTGCTGCTTCAATGCTGTTGGAGCACCTCGGTTTGTCATTACAGGAGGAGAAGAGGTGGGGCACGGTGGGTTCATCATGAAGAGGCAGGAAAGGATCCTGTCGAGGTCTAAACGAAATATCTGAGAGGCTCCATCCGTCATCTTTCAGGATTCTCCTCATGCTTCAGTGGCAGAGAGGAGGAAGTGTACCTCTGCACAGGAAGTTTCCAACGTGTTTCGTTTCCCTGGAGTGGCTTGGATCTTCAGCAGACTGTAGCAAAGGCCTGACAGATAGAGCTGATATACTGCTGCGAGTTCCTAAGTGCAAAACAGTCAGTGAGGATCAACAATGTAGAAGCAATGAAACAATGTCTTCAAAACTTTCTCCCCCTGGTTTTATCTTCAGTTAAGCTTGGGTTTTGCTAATTAATCACAACGACATAAACAACAAAAATTGAACATTTTCATTTGTAAATTATAAATGATGTTTTTTTTTCAGTAAACAGACATTGCTTACCTTATCTAGTAATACATAATCATACATTACATTTAAAGACCAGAAGAAAAAAAAGGTAATTGGGAAAAAATACAAATATGAGCACACACACTCCTATTTAGTGATGTTTTATTTCAACTTTGCATTGTGGAAGAATGGTCAGATTTGGTTACTGCAGCTCCTTTTCTAAACACACAAGTCTTTTCTCACTCCCACTTCGCGTGTTTGATGGCCGTTGCCAGTTGAGGATCAGCACCAGAAGGTTCTAGATGAAGAGCAAAGACGAGCCATACACAGGAGTTGATGAGTAGATAATTACAAATTACTGTAATACTGAGTTGTTGGTGATTGAAAAAGTAGCTTGAGATTTTTTTAGAGCTGATTATTGTTTCTAATCAGCATTGTTAGTTTAACGTTAGCCTCTAGCCTTCTTTACCTGATAGAGTAAAACAAAAAGATGCTGTAGTTTCTGAATAACTTCTGGGTCACTCCTGTTTACTGGCTTTACTGACTTTTTGCCTGCTGGTGTTGAGTTCCAAATGACAGCGCTGCAGTGTTGGCTCGTGCAGAATCAACAATCTCGCTGGCTCACAGACTCAAACAATGACTACGTCCCTCTTTCACAATTTAGAAGGAGAAAAACTAACAACCTTCCAGCTGAGAAGGAAATCCCTTCCAACATGACTGAGGCATTAGACCGTTTTTTATTATTTCACTGTAGAATTCTTATTGCACCTTTAATGTTTGCATGAATGTAACCCAATTATAGATGAGTCAGGAAAGTAGATAATGATAAAGTTTCAAAAGAGATTTTAAAATGGACATTTACAAAAGTAATATTTTTGTTTGCAGAAAAATGAATCTTGGCTTTCACCATTTTGTGTGACACTTTATTAAATGGAGACTAGGCCGTTTTGACTTGCTTTTAGCACCCACTAGTTTCCATTTACCTCCTCGCTGTGCGTTCGTCTTTTTAACACCTTAATCTTACAGCTGAAATGTCTCCCAGCCTTCCTCAGTGTCTACAGGAGAGGTTCATCACCAATTTAAACAAATCAGCCTCACAAAAAGAAACGTGCTGGAACCAGACTGCAGCGCCAGACCGGCACTCTGAAGTGGCAAATGATGTATTCTGGCCACAGGGGGGGATAGGGGCTGGGTGGCCTTTCATCAATCCTGTAAAGAGTCATTTTAGCACATACTGGCTCAAAAAAATTTTTTAAATATATGAAAAAGTTGCAAAATATCCCTTGAAGTTGTATGGCAATTTGCATTTTAACATGTGTCTTTTAGTACTCTGTGAAAGGGTAACAGTTATTCAAAGCCAGACAATATTCATATTCAGTCGTTGTAGAACTAAATAAATAAACCACATGAACTCATTTAAACCTTTCAAACTTCCAGTAAACGTTAGTGAAGCTGCCAGTCTTTCCAATAGCCCAGGCTGATGAGATGGATCAGTTCTTTTTGTCTGATCAAACATTTCCTACTGATTAAACCTGATGTAATTTATAATTCATAAAATGTACATCGCTGATTATATAATTATATCCCAGCATGAGAGCCAGACAAGTCAAGATTATTCTAGAATTTTCAAATAACAAATCCTGATCTTGGAAAACATTAAATTAGCCTTTATTTAAAATTAGAAACCTGTATACTAGTAACATATTAGTATACTCCCTCAGTTATTATCTTCAAGCACTCCAGCAGCCTTCAGGCAAGAGACAGGGGAAATCCTGGACAAGTCCCCAGTCCATTACAGGGACACACAGAGACAAACAATCAGTCACACACTCACTAACACCTGGGGAGTATTTAGAGTCATAAGTTAACCTAACCTGCATGCTTATGGCCTGTAGGAGGAAACCAGAGCACCTGCAGAAAACCAATGCATGCATCAAGAGAACATGCTAATGGTCTTGACACACAGGAGGCGACAAACGACTGTGGTCAGTGAAACATTTTGTTATCATTTTGATAACCTGTCACACGGAAGGCGACATGCGGCAGCGGCCAGCGACAAAAGCCAGAGATGCACTCGGTTCCAGGGCGATTGGCGAGTTTTCTGTTAGTTTGATTGGCCGTCAGATTGGAGGGAAATTGGGTTTTTTAAAGCAGTTAAGAGTTGAAAAATGGTAGATATGGTCTTTTTTGCTAGAGTTAAGTGAAGTCTTACTTCTGACTTTGCTATATAAAAAAGAAAAGTATGTGAATGTCCCATATAACAAACAGAAAAAGAAACAGTGATTATGACACCACACCAACACTCATTGGCAATTTCCCATCACACTGCCTTTTTGTGAAGATCTCTATAATCTTTTGTAGAAATGTTGTAAAGCTCTGGGAAATCCGGCATGTCAAGTATTAACTCTTCCTTCATGTTTGCCCAGCGATGTACTGAGAAATATCCTGTCCACTCATTGGTCAGTCAATGAATCCTGTGCTGATTGGTCCTTGTCTGAACGACAGCGTGAAACGTCTACATTTTCTCAACTTTCTGGGATCACGTCGCTGTCTCGCCCTCACCCGTGCATGACACATGCATGAGTGCTAAATTTCACATGCACGTTTTTTTTTTCACGTGTCGCTTAGCAGGAGGGAGACACATGATTATCGCTTTGTCGCACATGTCTCCTTGGAGGAGAGGCGATGTCACTTCCCATGTATTGAGTCCATATCTCCAGTTAGACAAGCTGCAGCAGGGATTCAAACCTGCAACTGTCATGTAATGAGGCAGCATCGCTCCCTACTTTACTGCCATGCAGCGCATAAAAAAATCTTTGCATTTATTATGTTTACCAATTATTTCTAATAAAACACACTCATATAGTTATTCTCTGTGCTCCTGAACCAGAAATAATCCCTGCATCACTTCTACTAATAATGATGTCGAAAACCAGTATGAATAAAACCTTGCCATAGATAATGGATTGAAAAAGTTCAGCAATG